GTATGAGAATGAGGAACGCAGTACTTCGTGACGAGCTGAGTCAGGTCACACAAAATGTCCATGAATAATGTAGTATTAATGAACGTGAAACATTTATTACTGTTATGAGCAGGACACTCAGTACACTTCTGCTGCCTCCCGACATGGACGCACGCCATCTTTCTGCAGGCTTTATTACTGTAAGAATTGATTTTTGTTATAAAGTTTGATTTTCACAGACGATTTGTATAATTTGCAAAAGAGGCTTCCGTCTGTGTAACAGGCCATAAACGAGGAGGTTCAACCGAGTTCCAAAAAAAATAGATTCCTCTCCATTAGTTTTATTGTAATCAGGTGTAAGGGAAATGGTACCATAAGATTTATTTTCATCAGTTGTAAGGGAAATGTTACTAGCTACAATATTCATTTAGAGAATTAGTGTAATGAAGTTTGGGAACACGTTAGAAATATGTGGTGTGACAACACTTGTTATTTTGTGTTTTCGGGATGTAACCATTCATGATCTTAAACAGCTGGGATGAATGTTTCATATCACACAGCTGGGATGAATGTTTCATATCACACAGCTGGGATGAATGTTTCATATCACACAGCTGGGATGAATGTTTCATATCACACAGCTGGGATGAATGTTTCATATCCCAGCTGGGATGAATGTTTCATATCACACAGCTGGGATGAATGTTTCATATCACAGGGGATGCTTGGTTACATTACAAGGTATTATAAATTCTTATTTGTAAATTGATAAAAAAATTATATCATGCAAATGTTGAAAAAAACTTTTCAATTTATTTTATAGTTTGTTAGATAATTGATCAATATAAATGAATATAGTAATTGAGATAAGGATATTGAATCAAGGGGGATAGGGTAGTGGTGATAAGGTCGGGAGTGGGGGTAGGTGATCAAGGTATTGGGAAGGGGTGGTGACTAGGGGATAAGGATGGGTAGGGGGAGGGGAAGGTGGGGAGGAGGCATGGTGATGAAGGTTTAGGAAAGGGGGTGCGGAATAGGTGATATGGTTGGATTGGGTGGGGGGGTGTGTCTAGGTTTGGGAAGGGGGTGGTTATTGGGTAGGGGAGAGGTGATCAAGGTTTGGGAAGTGAGCAGGGTGATGGAAGTGGTGCCAGGGGGAAGAACCGCACACATAGGCCCAGGCATCCTCACACTCTTCGCTGTCATACAAAGAACGATATTAATGACATATTTTTCAAGTTAGAATATTTCTTGCAAAAATGTGTTATTTTCAATCATATTATTCATACTAATTTTTTCCTGTCAGATGCAGACATTAAATGCCGTGATTTGTATCAATTCAGATACTGTTTGTCAGCTTAGTTATCTAGATATTAATCTGATGCTAATGAATTTCCTCCCATTTGGCCGATGGCCGTGCCCTGAGGTAGTCCTATATACTGTCATTGCCATCAATCAGTGATAATTGACGAGATACTTAACGATTGTTACACGCTAACGATAAGCCTGTCAGCTAGAGGTGTGCGGTGCTCCTGACTGAAAGGAGAGGCTATCAGAGAGAAAGTTAGGCTGAGGTTGAAATGTATAACTTATAATTACTGTTATCTTAAGTATAAGCAAGGTTTGATAATTTATAAACCACATTGCCATTCCTAACATGAAGCTGTTTCATTCTGATTTTGGGGTATTGAAATATTTTAGAAATTATTTTGACTCTTGTATTTTTATTACTTCTTTGTTTTATGTTGAGGTGAGGTAGTTTTTATTTGTTGATTTAATGATTATTTGAGTTTTTTTGTGACTGGGGTGAATACGCTGTTATTCTCTATATGAGTTGGTTAATACGTGAGTTATTATTCAGTTTTACAAACTAACCACAGCATCAATGTTATAATGACTGAGCAAAGCCTGAAATGTGACACTCCGTTCATGAGAGCTTGGACGTAATCAGTTTTAACAGGCAGTAAAAGCATAAACTGGGAAATGATTTGACAATTGACAGAGAAAATCGTTATAAATTGTTATGAAAACGTATAAAATTGTCATGCCTAACTCCTAGCACAAACTCCCCAGGGACATGAAAGGGGAATCTTTGTTTAGCTCAGCTGACACAATCATATTATAAATAATAATTTCATTGGTGGAAAGTTTTCAATTTAGGTAATTAGATTGTGATCAGCAGGTTTGGGTTCTGCTGCTGCTGCTGCTGCTGCTGCTGCTGTTACAATGTACAATATGAAATGAGTGAGAAAAGGATAGAAGGAGTAACATAGAGAAGGATAGAAAGAAAGTAACAGAGGATAAAAAGAGAGTGACAGAAGGATAAAGAGTAACAGAAAGGATAAGAAGGGAGTGACAGAGAAAGATAGAAAGTAACAGAGGGGATAAAAAAGAGTGATCAAGAGAAAGATAGAAAGAGAGTAACAGAGAGGATAAAAAGAGAGTGACAGAGAGGATAGAAAGAGAGTGACAGAGAAAGAAGGAGAGTAATAGAGGATAAAAAGAGTGACAGAGAAAGATAGCAAGAGAGTAACAGAGAGGATAAAAAGAGTGACAGAGGATAGAAAGAAAGTGACAGAAAGAAGGAGTGTAATAGAGGATAAAAAGAGTGACAGAGAAAGATAGCAAGGGAGGGTAAAAAGAGAGTGACAGAGAGAAGGATAGAAAGAGAGTAACAGAGAGGGTAAAAAGTGAGTGACAGAAGGATAGAAAGAGGGTAACAAGATAAAAAGAGTGACAGAAACAAAGATTAACTGAGGATAGAAAGAGTGACAGAAGGGTGTTGCAGCACAGTGCAAGAAATATTTCATGTTTTGTCTAAGATTATTAAGAGCTGAACAGAATTTTGTTATGAGAAATTTATGTTATCTTGGAAAAGATATTTTTGTGATTAGTTGAAATAATTCGACCTTTTTAGTTATATTAATACCCTTATGTCTGTCAAAATAAATAAACGATCAAATACTTAAACTACATCCACCTGTGATAGTAATGTTACACATTGTATATTACACATTGTATATTACACTTTGTATAGTACACATTGTATAGTACACATTGTATAGTACACATTGTATAGTACACATTGTACAGTACACATTGTACAGTACACATTGTATAGACAAAGGGTTGTATAAGACCGCTACACACCAGTCAACATCCCTGCTTGTAGCGTCGGTGAAGTGACTATATATATATATACACCACTCATCTCAAACGTCCATTACAGACTCTTTGCTTATTTGTTTAACACCACACTTAGCAATATTCCAGCTATATGCAGGCGGTTTGTAAATAATCAACTCTGCGACAGACAATGTAGTGATAAATATCATCAGCATCATTCCACGCAACTGGGATATGATGCAGTCACTAATCCTGACTACCTTTTAGTCGCCTTTTACGACAACATAGGTTGCTGAAGGCCTACATTCTTACCCAGATATTACAATCTCAAGCTGACATTCAACCCATCTTAGAAGCAGTACTACAAAGGCAATAAAAGCATCAATTTGATGAAGGTTACAGGGTTAATAAAACAAGATTAGGGAATGGATTATTGTATATGTATAAAGTTATTCAAGTGAACCCAACTGAGATCAGGTACTCAGAAACAGCAATAATATAAGAAAAGGTATTTTTAAACATTCAATAAAATAACAACAGGCCTCATAACAATTTGCGAACAAAACGCCATTTTTACAGGAACAGGTTTTCAATAAAGTTGATGATTTAGTAGCCGGAGAAAGCAACGTGAAGTTTGTAGAGGGAAACTGGGTAATTGACAGATATGTAATAAAGATGTGGATCCCGTATTCAATCGGAGCTTGCGGGCACAGCTATGGGAGTCAGTGGGTTGTACGATACGAAGTCAGCGAGGCATGAAGGGATTGGTTCTGCTCAGTGATTGCCCTAGGATGCACAACACGCTATGTTCAGAAGGTCTTTGTATGGTTTAACCACCGCTTGGAGACGGGGTATAGCTCATTAGATTTTGTGTGCTATGAAGTAGATACTAGCGTCATAAAACCGGCTACAAGGTGGCTGGCTCTTGGCTTGGTACACAGCAAGGTGCTTCGGTGATGAAGCCCGTCCTGCTCCTTACAGCGTGATCCATGCTGGTGCCATTACATGGCGTTATGGTGATTTTGCTTGTACAAGCTCCAACATAGATATAAGATACTGGTGATATGACTGTAAGGCATATGTAAGACAAGTACGAGGAACAATTCCAGTCTGCCAAATTTGAACCTTTCTTGTTACTTTTGACTTCTGAATATTAAGATAAATTAAGAGGAATAAAGAAATGTTGGTTAGAACAACTATGTTAATTAAAAAATACAATAGTAGTGATTTGGTTCACATGATTTATGTTGCAAACATTAGGATCCTAATTAAAGGGAAGTGAAAAAAACCACAATTTTATTTTTTTAATTTATATATAATAATGTGAGTTGGAGTTGTCTGGGTCAGTGTGTATAGGGTCGAGACGTCAGTATCCTCGACGTAATGGATTTGGATATAAGGGGGATTAAGTTGTAACTTGAACGTGAAGTTGCAGCTGAGCAGACATGTGTATCAAATTATTTTCGGATATACCTCCTTGTTAGTATGCAATATTTTTTCAGGCACATTAAGTGTGGTATTACGATGTTGATGATTGCTTGCCGTAAGAAAGATAATTCCATGGATTTAGATTACGGTACTTTCAGTTCATAACGATCCTGCCGCCAGATAATTTAAGAATAAATGTTTGGTATATCTTCAGAATGTGTGGGTATTAATGAGTTTCAAGTTGGGGCGATAAATCACTTGTTATTATATTGTTAATTAGTGGGAGCCAGTACTCTCATTGACGATATGAGAGCAGTACAGAATTCAATTTTCAACACCTGTGGTGTGTAAAATAACTGGAGAAATAATACACAGAGATATATGCAGCATCATGTCTCAGCCGTAATTAGTGAGCATTTCCGCTTTCATATATTTCAAGTTTTTTATGTTTTTTATGTTTTTTTCAGTGATGCGGCAACTGGAACAGTGGTCGGGACGACCTTGTTGTGACCTCGCGATGACCTCCGCTTGCAAGCAGACATGTCAAAGGGTGAGTGCAACACTGCATCATGGGAAGTATAAAAGAAATGAAATGCGATTGCATGATAGGAAAGTATAATAGAAATGAGATGTGATTTCACATGCAGGAAAACTTGACGTTTATGAAGCAGTAAATTTCCTGTAAATACTTAGTCATTCCTGTTGGATGATTAGCCAAGCGGGTATATTGTTTGCTTGTCTTGAATGACTGAAGGGGGTTGTGCTGAGTAGTTCAAGAGCATTGAGTGTCATACCAAAGGCATGGGTTTGATTCCCGACCTAGTAGTTCAAGAGCATTGGGTGTCATACCAAAGGCATGGATTTGATTCCCGACCTCGTAGTTCAAGAGCATTGGGTGTCATACCAAAGAAATGGGTTTGATTCCCGACCTCGTAGTTCAAGAGCATTGGGAGTCATACCAAAGGCACGGGTTTGATTCCCGACCTCTTAGTTCAAGAGCATTGGGTGCCATACAAAAGGCATGGGTTTGATTCCCGACCTAGTAGTTAAAGCCAGAACAGAAACATCCAGAAAAACACTTGGATTCGATACCTCACAGGAGGAGCTCACAAAATACTACTTTATGTCCAAGTACACAGCTAATATGTATGGGTACAAGAATCACTTACAAGTTTACGTCAAGATGTCATCGCCTTTTGTAAAGCAGTGAGCTGTCCAAACTGTGTTAAAAGCTACAGAAGAAATAAAACCTATGAAACAAGAACCGTCACGTCTGAGGGGCGAAGTGTTAAAAATAATTCTCCTGTATGAGAATACATGGGATATTTCGGACAAATATTTACTATTTTCGTTTCAAGGTAGGCAGTGACTATTTTAGGTGACATACAGAATCTTACAGGGTAGTGCAATAATTGAGTCTCCGTATGACGTGTGTGTGTTCGGTTTTGTCAATGAGCATCCAATATGACACAGGATGGTGCATCAACGATCGCGTAAAATGACATATTGTATTACTGCTTGCCAAATACAGTGAAGGACACACAGACCGATTCTCGACACCACTGACCTGGTTGAGAATTTGAAGATTTGAACAAGATTTCTCCAAATATGTCCAGCACAGGAATTTAATCGGGTTCATGCAACAGCGACTGAATGTTACCATGCAACATTTGAACAATGTTCTATTCAAATTTGACTACAACAGGGCCGTGATCGCATTTACTCCGAGAAGAAGTTGTTGAAATTTGGCAACAATTAAGTAAAGCTTGTGTGGAAGAGTGAAGAACGTTGCTGGGAGACTGATAAATACACAGGTTGATTGTACGAGCCACTGAGCTGGCAGCCCCATGGAACAGGCAGACATATTTGCTACGTCCTAATCATTCAGAATAGACTGTTTACTGAGTCTACCCCACCACCAAGAACACAGCATAGCTATTTACATGCAATGCTTCAAAATTTAGACTGAGGGCCACAAAATTTAGACAGGTGGGGGGTATACTCTCTCTTAAGTGGCATTTGTTTATGCAAATAGGTGCTTTGAATTATGGGTAGACAGGAAGATGGGCTGTATGCTCCTTCAAGCTGAAGAGTTCTCCAAGGGAAGGTGGGAAGGTTTTCATATCTGGTTTTCTTAGAAATCTAGACGGAACATTTGTCAGAGTGCGGCCATTACCAATTATATCACCCAAGTCTTGACTATAGGTTTCTGAAGCTGTTGTCGAATGTCAAAACATTTGAAAAAGAGCAAGAAAAAGCTTGAACCTTATTGGTCCAGGGTTTTAAAATTTTGATAAGCAGAATCGGATGACGCCATAAATTAGTTTTTGGGAGTGCCCCTGACAAGATCATGTTGAAACATGGAATAAGATATTTGCCTTTTTCAAGTTATAATTGGCAGCTTTGTAATAAAATTTGGTTTGTTTATACGGGGCATGCAGAGATTCTTGAACATGAGGCATACTTGGGAGGCGTGTGAGCTTGATACAACATGGCAGTGTTTGTTGTTTAAGAATTCATTGAATATCGATGGTGAAAAAACATCGAGCGTTTTTATGCTGGTTTTTTTTCAACCTTAATCTTGGCATAATGTCAACGATACGAAGTATGATCCTATTTGTGGAGGTTGGTTCTTCCGATATGAAATTTGGTGCTGGCAAAAATATAACATGAGATATCCCAGCTGGAATTGCTAATACTTTCCAGGAAACTGTTTCAAAGTAACAAATGCTTTTTAACAACTTCACATAATTGTCAATTAAGGATGAATGTTTTCAGGGCATTTATGATGTGTGTTAATTTTTATGTATGGAAATAATTTTATATTATGGCTTTAGTGTTTCCTTCAGATTGTAAAAAAGATAACTCTTGAGTTATGCCGTGGTTTAACTTTTAAAATAAACCAAGATGTTCTCATTAAATCTGACAGGCACATTTCATAATCGAGCTGAACTAGGCTAGACTTTCAACAATGCATGCTTTCATTCCACAAATCCTTCCATTTTTGGCGATCTTTTCAAAATTTCAAATAAAAAACACAATTTGGAATTCACAAAAGCTATATTGTGTGTTTTCGGGGGAAAAGTTAGTTTGTCTGAAATGTTTATTGAAAGATGCATCTTTAAGATGCCTCTTTAAGGAATAAGTCATCTTTTGTATTGGGAGACTTGTTTGAAATCGGAAGCTTGAGCGGGCATGGAGGTGCTGGCTTTTTTTTCAAAAGTCCACAACAGGTAGCTAGGCATACAATCGTTGTGCCAGGCCTCACAGGGTCTGATTGGACGGTGATAACATTCACACAGCGAAGCATGATGGGAAATATTACAGATTGAAAGTTTAATGCAAATACCTGAACACAACATGAGATGAGCTGTCAGATTTAGACAGCAAGTTTGGCTTTGGTAAAAAACGTTGATGTCATACCTGCAAGAGATGCTCATAAAGGGACTCTCTCGGGGGCCGTGTCACGAGTATTGAAAGTATATGACGCTTCCCTGCCCACCAGTGACATACAGCTCATGTAGTGAGTGGTATTGTGTTGGTTGTGTTGGTTGTGCTGGTTGTGTTGGTTGTGCAGGTTGTGTTGGTTGTGCAGGTTGTGTTGGTTGTGCAGGTTGTGCAGGTTGTGTTGGTTGTGCTGGTTGTGTTGGTTGTGCAGGTTGTGCTGGTTGTGTTGGTTGTGCTGGTTGTGCTGGTTGTGTTGGTTGTGCAGGTTGTGTTGGTTGTGCAGGTTGTGTTGGTTGTGCAGGTTGTGTTGGTTGTGCTGGTTGTGTTGGTTGTGCAGGTTGTGCTGGTTGTGTTGGTTGTGCTGGTTGTGCAGGTTGTGCTGGTTGTGTTGGTTGTGTTGTTTGTGCTGGTTGTGCAGGTTGTGCTGGTTGTGTTGGTTGTGTTGTTTGTGCTGGTTGTGCTGGTTTTGCTGGTTGTGTTGGTTGTGCAGGTTGTGCTGGTTGTGTTGGTTGTGCAGGTTGTGCTGGTTGTGTTGGTTGTGTTGGTTGTGTTGTTTGTGCTGGTTGTGCTGGTTGTGTTGGTTGTGCAGGTTGTGCTGGTTGTGTTGTTTGTGCTGGTTGTGTTGGTTGTGCAGGTTGTGCTGGTTGTGCAGGTTGTGCTGGTTGTGTTGGTTGTGCAGGTTGTGCTGGTTGTGCTGGTTGTGCAGGTTGTGCTGGTTGTGTTGGTTGTGCAGGTTGTGCTGGTTGTGTTGGTTGTGTTGTTTGTGCTGGTTGTGCTGGTTGTGTTGGTTGTGTTGGTTGTGCTGGTTGTGTTGTTTGTGCTGTTTGTGCTGGTTGTGTTGGTTGTGCAGGTTGTGCTGGTTGTGTTGGTTGTGCAGGTTGTGCTGGTTGTGTTGGTTGTGTTGTTTGTGTTGGTTGTGCAGGTTGTGCTGGTTGTGTTGGTTGTGCAGGTTGTGCTGGTTGTGTTGGTTGTGTTGTTTGTGCTGGTTGTGCTGGTTGTGTTGGTTGTGCAGGTTGTGCTGGTTGTGCTGGTTGTGTTGGTTGTGCAGGTTGTGCTGGTTGTGTTGGTTGTGCAGGTTGTGCTGGTTGTGTTGGTTGTGTTGTTTGTGCTGGTTGTGCAGGTTGTGCTGGTTGTGTTGGTTGCGCTGGTTGTGCTGGTTGTGCTGGTTGTGCAGGTTGTGCTGGTTGTGTTGGTTGTGTTGTTTGTGCTGGTTGTGCAGGTTGTCTTGGTTGTGCAGGTTGTGTTGTTTGTGCAGTTTGTGTTGGTTGTGCAGGTTGTGCTGGTTGTGCAGGTTGTTTGCGTGGTATTCTGAGTGTGCAGGGCTGGTCCACTGGTCAAGCTGTTGCAAATTGCTGTGTAGAGTTGCCTCCCTTAGGCCTGCCAGGATCCGAAGAATTCAAATCCCAGATTCACCCCAGTTTTTATCCTTGGTCTATCAACACTGCACCAATGATCTTGTGTTTCAGTAGGTTATTGTATGGTAACTGTAATTTATTTACTTTAATCCCATCTTGAACAGACGAGATTGTCACAGTTAGACATGTATGTTGATTGAATGATGTGTAAAATGTCCCACAAACCAACAGACATGACTCAACAGCTGTTTTCATTGCCTACTTTGAAGTCGACATCTTGTCATTGTCACCATGTCAATTTTCAGCGAGTCTCAGAGATGAATAAAACAAATAAAACGATCGAACACATTTCGGCTTAAACTCATTTCATACCTTTTCGAACAATGCCTGCCTACCTGTGGAACAATACCTTCCTACCTCTCAATTTAACATATTTAATAAAATAATCATCAATTATGATATATTTCTATAAACACAAGAGTCCTGTATTGGCCAATACTTGTTACTTAATAATACCTTAACACAACAACTGGAACGATACAGGTTTTACCTTCAACACAGCCATGTAGTACAGTTCACACACTGCATGTGCACAGCCAGTGATGATTAACTTTCTTTGTGAATAGTTTTCAAGTAGGACAAATCCACATCTATAATTTCTAAAATGAAAAAAAAACTTGATCAAATCTGAGTGATCTTACTGAGGTATGTACATATTCCAACATGCAGACCTCTTCACAATGATATA